ACTAGTCGGGGTGTGATAGAGGTAGGGTACAGTCGGTGTGAGTGCCGATGTGGGCGTGGGATGGCTTGGTATCAAGTATCTATATGTACGGCGGCCCTACATTCATACCAACACTCCGACACTAAAGTACCTATGTATCATGTATGTGCAAGTATACCCGATGTCATTCATGTCACCTGAAATCTTGAGCGGGGGAAGAGGGGCACTGGTGATGGCGGCAAAAGTACTACCTACTACATGCAGTTTCGGAATCATGGTGGCATATCACATCACTTTGTGTGTAAGAAAAGGGCTGGGAGGAGAAAACGAGAAGGAGAAGGAGACGAGAGACACGCATGAAAATCAGCTTGCCCCCACCATGGTACTGCGATGATATCCCAGTCCATTATTTCGTTTCCGGTACTTTCTGACGAAAAAAGGGGTCTATGCATCCGCGAACCAAACCACCGGGAGGGGTGTTATAGGTTACGTTACATTGACAGGAGCACGCGGGGGCGGGAAAAGGAAAATGGAAAAAGAAAAGAAATAAAAGGAGAACCACCATCTTTGAGCTTTGAAGCTGAAATACTGCCGCGCCTTGATGTGCTTGGGAGCTTGTTTGAGCCACCCAACTGTTTGCTTGGGGAGAAGAAACTAGTGGCTATCTATCGTCATGATTATCATAGAGAATCCAGCATCGGGACGTGTGCTCTTGTGTCACTTCGCTGATTTGGTTAATGATTAATATAGGTATCTAACTACCAATAGAAGGAGTGTAGATAGATACTGCAAGCTAGGATGGATTGATTTCAGAAGGGGCCTATGTGTGTATTGTAGGTCATTTCAACTGATCAAGCTAGACGTATGGCGGTTTGGTAGATAACGTATTCTGTGTAATACATGCTCTACTCTAACTACACAAGTATCGAAATCAGGGACGTAAGGTAAAGGAGGAGCAGGGGCTGGGCTCACGGGAACAGTTGATGGTTGAAGGGCAGGGATAGAGGGAGGGGGGTCTGCATCTGAGACATTGATCCTCGACACCGGTCCTTCGTTCTCCCCTCATTATGGTCGTGCGTAGTGGGGGGATGGCGGTTTGGCGCAATTGTACGGCCGCGGAATTGAAGCTGGGATCGTGACTCGTTGCAACCTACCGGCATTTTGCCCATCTTGTAGGTAATGATATTGATTGCCGTTTTGCAAACAGCCAATTAAGCTGTTCAAACCAACTAACGTTTCCGTCCCCGAAGCGGTTCCGTGGGTGGAGATCCCTGAGAAGGATTCTTATCGTGCGTGAGATTTCTGGTTGTTGGGGATTTCCAACTAAGGTAATCTTTTTTGGTACATATCAGGTGCATTTCCAAATAAAGAATTTGAGGTAGGGATATATATTTTTTCGGCTTGTTCCCCCACTCGTCAATACCTAGTAAGGCGGCAAACCGGTCCATGGGTAGGCCCTAGGTGGTCGTTAATCTTTCCTAATAGTAGTTTAGCATCGGCAATTGAGTTTGATGTACTAGTACTATCCAATGAAGTACCATATGCGTAAAAAGGATTGAAGTACAGGCTTGACATTGACAGGCCGCAAAAAATCCCCGAGGAAGTGAGATACTCCAATGATATCGCCTGCAAGGTAAAGAACTGATTTCCATAATTTTGTAACCGTAAATTCTTGCACCGTAATAATGCTCCGCATATATGTATGTATGTACCTATATATAATCATATTACAAGGAAGTTTTCCCTCGGTCACTCCGCGATCTCCGATTTCGAGCGATTCAGAAGGACCCAAGAAACTTGAAGGGATCTTAAAATTTTGATTTAAGACATGCCAGGATTGAAGTTAGCTTCTATAGCAGTGGTGAACTCGTGATGTTTGTCTAGGTAGACTAGGTACGTCTGTTGCGATTCCTAGTGTGCTGTGATGACGATGCACTTATTCGGCGTTCTTATTTGTTTCCATTGCTTTTTATGGCACTCCTCTCATGGGTCAGGAGGGCAGAAATTCAAAACCCAACCCGAGAAGCTGGGTAGGCAGGAAACCGTCGTGTCAAAACTGCCACTCCCGGTCCCATACTTACGGTTTCTTTTTCCCTCCTGTTTTTGTTTCTTTTCTTCTTCTATCCGGACTGAGGATCTCCAGTGTTTGGGAACCCAGTACAGTTTTTTCTCGTGATACAGTATCTATTATGCCTATTTGTGGCGCCTTCCTTTTCGTTCAAAACGATCGTGGATCGGGCAGAGGCCAGAGGCGCTGGCTCATTGAAAACATCGCAAGCCCCATAGGCACTTGTATGTATGTATGTACTTTTATGTGCATTATTCATAAAATCCAAGGGTCCCCACGTTATCCCCTGTGAGTTTGGATGACTGCTACCCGAAGTTCAATCAAATAAAGTATCTCGCTAATGGTTAGGAAAAATACATCCGACCATTCTTCTTACCGATGCCCCTGATTTTATGAGATGAGATGTGGTTGTCCTTGGGTAACCAGTCGAAAGACCTTGATACACGTGAACTTCTCTAGATATGCGGGGGGCAACCAAATGTGTCCCGGTTTGTCCAAAATGGGTATATAATATTCAAGGGACCTCGATCATCCCGGTTGATGGTTTTTTGTGCTGATTACCGGATTCACGCCTGATGCAGCCGTCAAGGGAGAATATGATTGGCTCTAGGCTGCGGTTCTGGCAAGAAGTGACTGAAGGATATTATTGTAATACCGGGATCTCCAACTGGCCCATGCGGTCGGGCCGGGATCGGAGATACCAATGCCTGGGGTTATGCGCACGGTCCCAGAATGCGACTAAGCGATTCCAGTCATCCACATGGTCCCAACCTCAGAATAGCCAAGTTACCGGGGATCTGTGTCTGTTTTGGATCTGTTCGTCCTGGAGCACGCCGAGCTGACGGGTTTAAGATTCGCACAAATCGTCAACTCCCCCGCCCCTATCGCCTTAAATAATATGATCGAGGCAAATTGGCGGCGTTGATATTTACTACATGTAAGTAACTACAGCTAGATATGCGCGGAGAGAGAAGGGGGGGGGGGGGTACATCCATAACGAGGAAGTCATCGCTCATTGCTTTTGATACATGCTCCCCCCCTCTCCTACTTTGAGTCTATCGTGCTTGATGGATCAAACTACTCGTGCAACAACTTTGCCTCTTCATCCAGTTGTGCCTTCGACACATGCACAAGAGAATCTCGTAGTCCTTGAGTCTAGACTTTGCAGATCACTATTGTTGGCTTCTCAGTACAGTCTGTCTAGCTCTGGGGTGTAGTATTAGAATATTTCTGCGTAATTTCTTGAATCTTTGGGCGAGTCAGGGTTTTTTTCTTTCTTCAACAACCAGGTAAAAAAGAGGAAGCTATTCTCTTATCATAAACCGGGAGCTGCTAGGCTCAATTAATCTATTCTTGAGCCGCCCATTGCCGCAACGTGGGGGTGTCTCTTTGAGACGTGGAGAACTAGAACTCTTCATACATACTCGCGTGGCTAGATAATGCCGGGAAATAGATATAGGCACCGGCACGTATGTATCACACGTAGATTACTTAGTAGGTTTGTACGTGTATGTACCTCCAGAATTAAACCCGGCATGATGAATCTGGCCGCGCGAGTACCAACAAGGTTTGTTCGCTAGGATCGGCTTCGGTAGGATCTTGTTGCGAGCCCTCAATTCCTGGGTCGGTTTAATCGAGCTTTCTTCCGCTGTTCACAGTTTGTCATTATTATCGGCGAGGTTTCAGCGTCTATCTGCCGTTGGTTATACCTACTTACGGTTGGTAAGTGCATAACTGCATCAAGATGGTATTCCAAATAAGGATATGGCCGGCATATGATGTAGGTAAAATACAAAACCAAAACTGTAATCGTATTATAGAATTATGGATGTTTAGTCACCTGGAATCCTTGATTGATACAGGAGGCTGGTATTAGCCATAGCCATATTCTGAAGCACTGTGACGTTGCGTTATAATAAATGCAGTTCTATAGATATGTATGTCACAGTTACTTAGCTCGTGGGTAGGATTTAATCTTCCTTGAATAGAGTCGTATCAGTTAACTTGTCAATTCCAGGGCCGGGTACTAAGGCGCGATGCCTTAATGGTCAATTAGCGTGGCCAGTAGAGTACTTAGAAAACAACGCTAGGACGTGCTGGGACACCTAGCGCGCTTAGCAACTCAACCACAGCCCAATATCACGCCTGGATCCATGAATCTAATCGGTGTTTGAAACCAAAACAACAAATAATTCTCCATCGGTGGCTTTCTAATCATGAATACATGTCCATGTAGTCGATGCTCATTACCTACCAAATCCTTTCTGTTCCATCTGTTCTCTCTGGCCGCTTCGGCTACTATTTGAAGTAAGTTACAGGGACCGAATATCACTACCGATTTGCTGACTCTAAAAATCGCCTACTTGATCGCAAAGCTTAAGATGGAGATAGCCGGGTACCTGTTTGATTCTGTCTTTTCGGTGCATGATTCCACAGGTTTTAGGTTAGGCTTAGGCCAACCACAAAGATGCTTTTGCGGAGATTTCTATGATTAGAGGGCGAGCCTTTGAACCATAGAATTCTGAGACATCCTCCACCCCCCGGTTAGGATCGACAGAGGCAATGTCTTGCCGTGAGAAGTTGACACCTACGCTATCGATCCACAGGCTATGCGGGGGAGCAATCAATAGTCAGTTTCAACTTTTGACCTAGCATCCGCACCACACTAGCTAGTACCATAAAGTGGTTAGAATTCAATATAAGTTGCTCGTAAAAAGGACTGTAATGTGTGTGTGATTAACGGCAACTTAGGTAACTTGATATCTGGACGATCTGGATAGACAAACTTCTCTGCTGAGAATCTAAGCATAGAAGACAAAGTAACAGCAATCTTGAGCATCCAATAAAACCCCATATCTTATCCGTTTAATACATGTACATGTATGTTTGATCTAGCTAGCTGCGTGTGATATCGGACGGAAGCAACCGACTCGGGAGATTTTTCTGGGATATCATGATCCCCGCTAGTGCGGATTTAAGCCTTCTTCAATACTGTTACCACTCTTCAAATTTGACTAGCGGTTCCTGTGTCCGCTTTATCTTAGCTATTAGACCTGTTGCTTTCTTTTCTTCAACCTATTCAAGTTGCTAGCTGCATCCAGCGCCGATGATCCCGCTGATTCCTATTTAATACCCCACCTCCCCCCGGCCGTCACCACTGTCGTCTATTCTACTTCTCTTCTCCCTCCATCTCTCATTACCCCTCGATCCCGCTCTTCTCCCCCATTTTTCCTCTTCATCTCTTCTTCCATCACCCATCCACTCTCTCCTCCTTTTCTACCTTCCTATCTTCATCATCATCATCACTTTCCATCCTCATATTATCTCACAAGTTAGTCAAAATTTGCCTACACTCAAGTATTGCGATAAAAAAACTCTCGAGTGATTTTTTGATTGCGTCTCCGCAGCGAAAAATCACTAAAGGCACATCAATTGCAGTAAATAGTTTTTCATCAACCTATCGTTAGTAAGTTTATTCCATCCTTCAGTCGTGCAAATGTTCTTAGCTCATCGACTAACTCTTATGATCTTCTTCTCTTTTCTAAAGAGAAGAAAGGGCCTTCAAAAATCTGGGTTCGGATTCCCTTAGCTTCTCATAGCTCATCAACCGTAAGTTGTGAAGATAAAATTTAAAGCTGTTGGCTTGATGGATTGCTAACAGAAATTGAAGCTATCCGATGGTAGTTTCTCAAAAGGCCACAGGGCCTATTTCCAATACTTCACCACAAATAAAGCCCCAATCGAATAGTACACCCTTCATGCAGCATTCAAAAAACACCTATAGGCATGTTCCTGGCCATCCACAGGTAGCTATTCAGCATCAATATAGCCAAGTTCCATATCATCATCATCATCATCATCAAATGGGTGGGCAATACTTTGCTCCTGTACCTACTCACGCTCAAAACTACGGCAATGTATACAATCCAGTTCCACCCGAGCAATTCTATTACTATCAGTGGGCTCCGGGGCACATGCCAATTCAACAATACCCCCAGCAAGGGTACAACGCTTCTCCACCAAACACTCCTCCTCAATCAGGTATGCAATATGGGTATTCAATTCCCCACCATGTCGATTTGCATCACGGTGCGGCTTTACTACCTCCAACCCCCCCACATCAGCATCAGGTTTACACTGGAGTCTCACCAGTAGTTGCCTCAAACGAGTCGGACCGGAAGCCGTCATGGTCATCATTGGGTATAGTCGAAAGCCCAACTACCCCATTCACAGCTGTCTCGGATGCTAGTGGAAGTCCCCTTATTGTTGGTAGCTATGTTAAACCTGTTAGCACTGATGGGATGAAAACATACGGGCTTCCTCATATCACAAGTGGGAGAGTAGAATCATTAATTAGGGGTGGACCACCTCTTCCAGAGCCTATTTCAACAGCGTTCTCGGGCGAGGCAACAAAATCCATGGGAGAAAATTTGGAAAATCCTACTCATACAACAAATGTCTATATTCGAGGGTTGCCTCCAGACACAGATGACGATAAGCTACTCGAGATGGTTCGAAGATTTGGTGCAATCATTTCACATAAAGCCATAATGGATACAGAGCATGGCACTTGTAAAGGGTATTTATATTTAACAAGAAGTTTCAATTTCAAATCATCTCTCTAATCATTGTATTATAGTTATGGTTTCGCGAGGTACGAAAGCATTGGTCAGGCTGAAGATTGTATCAGAGGCCTGGTTAGTCTTAAATACGAGGCGGGTTTTGCTCGAGTAAGTTTCCCTTCCGTAAAACTTACACACTATTCAATACCTACTGATAATCATTCTAGGAATCGTTTAATGCTCGTCTTAAAACACTTGCGGACCCCAACTCTACAAATATATATGTCTCAAATCTTCCACGTAGTATGAACGAGAAGGTTTGTTTTATTACCCTTTACCCTTCTTTGCCTTTTAATGTATCTCTTCATATTTTGACAACATTTGATGAATATAGGATATGCAGGATATTTTTGAGGGATATATTGTCGTCTCAAATAGAATCTTGAGGGATACTGCTGGAAACAGCCGTGGCGTAGGATTTGCACGGTATGATCAACCCTTCTGAAATTCAAATTTACTATCCTAATCTTTGTGCAGTTTTGAGGATCGCAATATCTGCGATGAAATCATCAAGGTCTTCCATGGGAAGCTGGTTGGAGAAGAGCAGCTTCCCCTACAAGTTCGTTACGCGGATACCAGTGCCCAGAAACGCCTCAAAGCCACCACGACAAAGAAGAGGCAATACAGAAGCAACGAATATAACAACAGCGTCGTCAATGCTGCGTGTTATATGCCACCTAACGATTCTGTGCATCATCCCCCCGTCCAATATAGAAACCGTGTATGGCATCGGCATAACTCAATGATATCAAACTAGTAAGTTCTTATCACTTTACTGCAGAATAGAAATATATACTAATATTTAAAAGTTCTAGTGACGCTGGGGTTACTTTGGAACGTGATGCCCACGAATATGATGAGAATGACGAAAATTACGCAAACGAGAATGTTAAACTGGAGACCGTACACGAAAACGGAGACGACGTCTCTTCGTCTGACGATGGCTCTGATCTAACCACTGTTCCATCTCCCCTTGAGCTGATCGCGAAGTGTTCTTCTGGAAGCTTTTCAGATCCTGGAGAGAGCTATGGAGGTCTCGAGTCGGTTTAATCCTGGGTTTTTTTACTTTCTTCTTTTTTCTGTTTTCTTTACCTTACCTTATTTTCTCCGCCACTTGCTTCCAACCGGGGTCCAAGTTTTTCGAGATGATAGGGTGAAGTTTGGGTGGAAGGTTGATTTTTGTTTTTTTTCCTTTTCTTTTCGGGGTTCTTTGATGATACCAAATTAAATTTGTCAGGTGCATAAATGTTTCACAAGGCTGTAGAAATTTTAGGCGGAAATTTGTGTTTCTCCAATTAGTTCATGCAGCCCCTTTGTATACATGTACCTAACAAAAAAAAAGTGTTTGCTGGGATTTTCAGGCTTCTACTTTTTAAAAACTTATTTTCATAACAGTTCTGGGAGAGAAATGAGTGTTTCTTCAACATATGGATTTCATTACAGGATAAAATCTATACCAAATAGTGTAGATAAAGCCTTGAAATTAAATGCAGTGTTCCGTCTGCCATGTGAGTCTTCTCTTGGAGCATGTAGCCAGAGAAAGAAATAAAGAAAGAAAGAACTCGAAAACAACCAAATAAAGTCGTCGGTACGCTGTATTTATTAACCCAAATATACACATAAAACACATGAATTTTAGGCGAGCTGTCTTTAGCCTTGTCAATTTGACACCTCAGCCCTTTAACTCCATCAGCACAAGTGGTTTTCAAGTTGCCATGGGTTGGCTGTCCTCCTTCTGTACCCTGAAGCCTGTCGGTTTACGTTTGTCGGGACCGATCTGCTAGATGAACTCCTGGTTTATAATCCCTTCTCGCCACCCCTAGCTAGTCTCGTACCGTACCGTATACGTGGTCTGTCAGTTCAGGATCTAGGACCGGGTGTCAGGATCCACTTAAGCTGAAGAAGGGTAGGGGATGAGTGCTGTACATAGGGTAGGGGGTAGTTTAGTAGGGTAGGGGTACATGTAGTTTAGTACATGTAGTTAGTTGCGATATAGTAGGAGAAACAACAAAACTATATGATTTAAAAAAAAAGTAGGAGAAAAGGTTTGAAACACATGTGATCGCCGTTAACTTCTGTGTCGGCGACGTTGAAGAAAAAAAAGCCACAGCACAAGCGGGTCAGCCTTAACTAATTTGGACACACTCTCTCACTCCGTTTCTGTTTTTACTGTTAGTGGGGTCACTTGTGTGGTGTGCGTTGTGAGCGGGAGCGGGAATTATTTTCTTTTTGCGACTGCTGTTTTTTTTTGTTTTGGGGGGCGTGGGTCACGAATCCTCGCTCGGTCAGTTACCCGGTTATGTTTTGCTTTGTTTTGTTTCTTCTTGCTATCTGCATACGTCACTCAATCACTCACTGGCTGGCTTATAGTATTACAAGCGCGCGCAACCTCCATCCACCCTCCCCCCTAACTCATGTTCAGGGGGATTCCAGTAGCGCTGTTGGTTTCCTACATTGTGGGAGTTTTTTGAGTACTTCTATTGTTCTAATATGGGCCAGTAGTGCCGTGGGTCAAGTCATGGGCGGTCAGTCGGTTGGTTACCCGGTCAATGAATCATCATAATAATAATTGGGGGCCCGTCCTTGGCCCTCCGTCCTACTAGCAGCTAATAAACGGAACGGACATAGCTTAGCGTGGGTTGGGTTGGGTTGGGTTGGAATAGTAAAAAAGCGCGCTAGGCTATATGTGATGCAACTATTACTTTAGTTGGACTCGCGCCGGCGGAACACAGCTTCCCTCCCTTCCCCTTGGGTTTGATATTTACCCTGCCGGTGATGGTGATGTTGATTTTTAATGTTGATAAAAGTCGCCCCCAGCCCGGGGAAGGGGGAAGAGGGAAGGGAAGGGAATGTTAATTTCGATCTTCGGGACTGACAGCTCTTTTGACATTGACGTTGACCGTTTACCTGAGCTCGGAGACCAGGCCCGGCGGTGGTGAGTCCGGGCTTGCAACTCTACGTACCCCAGGTTTAGGGTATATTGGGTCGTCAAGCTGGGAGGGTGGGTAGGAAGGAGAAGGTCGAGAATGTGGTTAGAGTAACGGTTCTCCTCTGGAGCTCTCGAGCTCTCTACAAATTAATACCTTACCCAGCTAGCTATCTATGCCCAGCTCGTATCTCGATTAATCTTCCTCGACTTCTACCGGATATTTTCCGATTCTTCCACCATACCCCTGACCCCTGCCCACCCCTCAAGCTGCCCAGCAGAATAAGCTCATAGGGATATCCGGGAAACAACAACAAGAAGAAAGAAAAACGTGGGTGGGTAGGTAATTTCCCAGATACTTTACCCTGGGACAAAAAAGCTGTACCTGCATATACAAGTGGGGTGGGGTAGCTATGTAGAGCTAGCTCGAGGAAATGTCCGAACGAAAGGTAGGTCCCTGGATAGCCGTTTCACCGCATGCCCACTCACACACACACAAACCCAACCTCCCACATACATGCCGGAACGGAAACATTCCCGGCGGCGGCGGGTTTGCCTCTCGCCCCCCCCCCCCCCACTCCCTGGTAATAGGGGGTGGAGAGAGGGGGGGGGGGGGGGCCGGCCGCGGTGTGTGTTTGTATGTGTGATGTGATGTGATGTGATCTGATGTGATGTGATGGATAGAGTGTTTGCTCTACTTTTGTTTTAATCTATGCAGCACAGGTACAGGTGGACTGTGACCAGTAGTACTACCGTATGAATATGCGTACGTAAACCAACAACAATAACATTTAAAAAAAAAAAAAGGCTACTACAATTGTTGGGGAGGTTGGGAGTTTTTTTTTTCTTTCTCACTTCAGTTATTTTTGTTTTGTTTTGCTTTGGGACCCCGTGAGTCATGAAACATGGGAGTGAGAATTGCATTACTCTACAGAGGAGCGCGGTTTTAATTGTTTTGCTTCTTCTTTTTTCTTTCTGTACTTGACGTCCGGCCGGCTTCCCTGTCTTGTTTTTCTGTGCCGGCGCCTCCCTACGCCCCCCCGGAATAACCTCGCGTAAGTTTGTAGGGTACATGTAGGTACGGTACAGTACCGTAACGTAGGGTTGGGTGTAATGCATGCAGGCAGGCTAAGAGTTACAGACCCGACCGTTGAAGTGGAGGTATCAAATGACGGAATTTTGTTTGTACCTACATATTGATGGGCGAAATGGGACACAGCCATAGGCCTCATCATGCAAGGACGGGAACAAACAGAAAACATTGTATGTAGGTACAAAAAAAACAAAAAAAACAAAGCAAAACAAAATATGGCATAAAAACAAATCACAAATTCATAGGGATTAGCGAAAGGAAGGGAGGGATTCGGTTGCATCGTGAAACGAGCTGAGGTGATAGGGCTCTCGTTCTTAGTCTTCAGCATCGACATCATGTAGGGTACCGACCGACTGGCTGCAGGGGTGCACGGGTGCACTGGTACAAGTTTGTACCTGAGTGAGATAGAGAGAGGTATATTATTGTAAATAACATAGGCAATAGCAACAGCATCAGTACGGTACCGAGATGGAGATGATCGGTGGGATTTGATTTTACTTTGCGTATGAAGTACAATGTGCCGCAGTATTATGAAGGTATCATGTAGGCTAATCTTCCGTTTAGCTTTCTCGGGTCCGCTATGAGCACTCATGAGCAGGCAGAAAGGCAGGTCACTGACCGCGATGAGGGTGGGGGAGGGAAGTTTGGGAATTGGGAACTGGGAATTGCGATGTTCATGTTGCTGTCACTCGGACTCTCTTCTCTGTGTATCTGTATCTGTATCTGTATCTGTATCCGTCCGTATCTGTATCTCGCTCTCTCTCTGATCACTTCCAACCCAGCGGAGTGTTATTGCTGCTGAGCTAGGCCCTTTCCAACCAATTCCTCCTGTCGCCCTTGTCCGCCTGATCTGCCTATCTGCCTACAAAATTGATTTACCCTACTGGCTGTCTGTGTCTGTACTACTCACCGATATATACGCTTTGGCGGCCGCGGGCGCGCGGGGGGGTGGCTATTTACGTACACGAACCTCTCCCAAAAGTAAAATTGGTGATCAGATGGGAGGACGAAGGAAGGAGGTTTGTGTGGTTGTGGTTGTAGTCGTGGTGCTCAGGTATTCCCAATTATTTTTTTTATAGTTTCCGGGGCGTTGTGTTTGTGGTGAATCAATTGTAGGTTGGGGGTGGTGGTTGGGGGTGAATCAGGTGCCCGGCCGGAGAAGGAGGATGGGGGATCGATGGGCGTTTTTTCATTAGACGGCGGCCACAACGAGCGAGCGAGCGGCCGCGGGCGTCCCTACTCTGCGACAACATTGGCAAACTAACGAGAGTCATGGTACCGGTTCCACAGAAACCCACCCATCCACACAACCGGAAGATTAGGAGAGAGAGGTAATGCATGGTAGACACGGTAGGTACAGGTCCACAAAGGGACACAGCCAGGGACACACCACACACACACCACACACTCACTGCACAGGTACCGAAAAAAAGTAACAGATGCATGTTACGAAAGTAGAAACAAAACGGCCCCCACCCTGCCTCTCTACATACTCGGATTTTTGGGGTCACGTGTGGAAATTCTTTCTTTCTATCTCTCTTTGCTTTTTCTATGTAGAACCTTTTATGCAGGCGTTGGAAAAAAAAAGTTGTGTCCATGATATACATACATGATACATGTAGGATTGAATGAATGAGTGAACATCTGATTGACTGTCTTGTCTGTCTGAGTGAAGTCTGACTGACTTGGCCCAATGTCAAAGTGCGATGCCGCTGTTGGAATTGTGATCTACCGTTGCTCTGCTCGAGTAATTGAGGACAGGTAAGGTTTATGAACAACAACGGCAATGAAGACCTCAGACGACGACGACGGGACAACATTGAACTATGCCAGTGTGTTGTTGTGTGCTCATGACTGCGGTGGTTGTGGTGAGCCCTGACTGACTGATATGATCATCACTGACTGATTGATTGATTGATTGACTGAGATAATTCATTGACTGAATTAATACACTCACATGTTCATATTCGCATTCACACACATACATGAACATACAGGGACAGCGCTTTTGATACGACATCCTCTGCTACA